GCAAGCTTCGAGCTGTCACTCTTCTACGCCGATGACTTCCCCGCTCGCCCATCCCGCTTCATCAAGACGGCCATCCAGGAGGCGGCGAAGCAGGCGCGGTACGTGACCTACACCATCAGCCAGCATGACCTCACCCACCCCGTCGACAGCCCCAGCCAGACGGCGATCGACATTGTGAAGAGCCTTTCATTCGACAAGGCACATATCGTGACGGTCAAAAATGCCCGTGGCTTCGTTCCCCTTCCCGGCACCCCCTCACCCGCCCCCGCCATCATCGAACACCTGCAGCAGTTCCCAGCGGCCAAGGAGCTGCAGATCTGCAGCGGTCTGGGCGGGGCTACGGGCCGCCTGTTGGCGCAGAAGATGTCCAGGGAGGTCGGGACCGTCCTCTTTGATCAAGATGAGAGCAGAGAGGATAGACGCTTTATCCTGGAGGCGCTGGGGGAGGGGAGGGAGGGGCGCACTGTCCGTGTGGGTCATTGGAAGGGGATCCGATCAGTCTCGCTCACCGCGGGCCCTTTGAAGGGTGGGGGTCGGCAGGATCGCCAGCTATTCGCGACATAGACATTGACTTCTCAGGTATGCTGGCCGGGAGGGCAGTGAATGCGCCTTTCGGCTCACTTGTGTGTCCTTCCGCCTTGTCTGTGTGTCGTCATTTAGTGTCCGATGAGCTGGAGCCCCTTGCTGCTGCCGAGCTCGTCCGCGACAGCCTGGCAACTTTGCTCAATGCTGGCGTGCGCGGCCTGAGGCGTGTGGTGGTGTTGCTGCCGATGTTGCACGACCTTGACGGCGCCATTCGACAGCTGCTTCCCGACAAACTGAAGATCGGCGACTTCACTATCATCACCGATCCTCGGCGAACTCGGTGGACAGTGGTAGAGGCACATCGTATTGGCTGATGAGAGGGTGAGAGAGACAGACAGACAGACAGAGAGACAGACACTGTCGTGTTTGTCACTTTGTCCATGGCACATGTGTGTGTTGTGTGTCTGCATGTGTGTGTCAGGCTGTCTGTCTGTCAGGTCGACACAACCCCCGACAGCACCGTACATAGCTGTTGCGCGGCCGGGGCCACCCAGCTGTGTGATGTGAATACGGCCGCGGAGAGAGACTTTCGTGATGCGTGTGTGCTCACATTAGTGACAACTGGATGGATGGATGGATGGATGGATTTGCGTGTACAATCAGACGGACCTGACGCTGTGCGTCAACTGTGCCTGCAGCGATTGAACTGCTTTCGGTTTTCCAGAGACATGACGCATAATGCGTCATGTCTGGAGTCTGTTGTCATCAGACACCCTCTCTCCCCTCGATGCGTGCGCACCCAAAAGGAGAAGGCAGCAGAGAAGCGCACACACAGGAAGGCCACGACGAAGCCAGAAGCCCACCATGCACCGTCTCGTTGTTCGCGTTGTGTGTGTGTGCGGATCGATCTGTTTGGCACTCACCCATTCTGCACACACAAGTCAGTCAGTCCCATGTCGGTCGTCTCTGATAGTGCGGATCAACCCACTCCTCACCGCAATCACATGAGCATCTGCATGACACCTTCACTTCACTGTGGTCCGCTCGCATCGCATGAAGGTGTCAGTCAGTGAGTGAGCCAGCAGTCCGTCCGTCCACACAAACACAGTGAGTGCACGACTCAGCCGTCTGACACCGACCGACAGGCAAAGGCAGACAGACGGAGTTGTCGAGCTCCTCGGAGGAACAAACACACACACACACATACGCACAGATATGGTATGTGTTGGCAGCCGGCTAGACGGGGAACGAATCGACACCGACGAACATACGCACACACACATATACGCCTGCGCAGCTCACCCACAGCTTGAGAGGCGGTCAAGTGTCATCATGGCCCATCCAAAGGCAAGATCACCGATGGAAATCCAATCAGTGAGGCTTGCTCCACGCCTCCCGACTACCGTCGTTCTCCTCTTCTGTCTTTCCCTCTTCTCGACATGCGAGCTTCTCTGCTGCGGCCACCGATGACTGCGCTGTTGACGAGTGAGTTGCGCAGCCTCTCAAAAGACGACAAGCGGACCGGCTCCACATTTTCGCCAAAAATCTCGGCGTAGATCCCCTTTCCGTGCTCCAGAAGCGCCCTTCGGCATCGATTGGTGTGGAGACGAGCGTGAGCGTGGCTCGCGAGAAGGGCGACGAGAAAGCGGCGGCCGCCAAGCTGCTCAAGGAGGTGTTGGCGGAGGTCAAGGCGGCCGAGAAGAAGAAGGACCGGCCCGACGAACCGGCAGAGGTGGACCTGGCAGATGGCATTCAGTTCTGGCCCGACGCCTTCGACGACGTGAGCATCCACAGGACAAAAACACGACTGTGCAGAGTCGGGATTGGTGCCGTGCAATGCAATCCATCAGGACAAGAAGCGTGATGGCGACGAGGTGCTGTATCCCTACACCAGCATGATCGTCAGCAACGGTCAGTCAGTTAACTCGCGGCACACACATGCATTCTCTGCATACCCTGTGTGTGTGTGTGTGTGTGTGTGTGTGTGCAGGTACGAGTGTGAAGGACTTCGAGAAGCCTGTGAACCGGAGCAAGTACTCGCCTCTCGGCGGGCTGAGTTGTGTGCTGGCGTGCCCCATCAAGGCCTCAGACCCTGTCAGTGGGCATCACACGACACACATCTGTGGTGACACGTGTTGATCTGATGTTTTGTTTGCAGTCGAAGGGCATCACCATCAAGGACTTCGTCAAGACACTCGAGCACTGCAGTGATCCTGACCCACTGGGCGGCAGTCTGCTGGCACCTGACATACACGACGGCGAGCCCGGGTGAGGGTGAGGGACTCACACGGTGGTGGGGGGCGGGGGTGTGTGTGTGTGTGGCGAGTGGAGATGCTCTCTCTCTCTCTCTCTCTGTGTGTGTGTGTGTGTGTGATGTAGTTTTCTGATCAACATGGAGCGCGTGGCCACGGGGCGTTATCGCATCATATGGGATGAGAGCCGCTGAAACCTCAACGATGCATCCCATCCAGGTATGTAAGGCGCCCGATGAGCTACCCTGGATGTTCACCTCAGGTCATGCTGCTATGGTGTGTGTATGTGTGTGTGTGTGCTGTGTTTGTTGCAGGAGCCGCACCGAGCCACGCCACATCCGCCTTGTGTCTGTCTGTCTGTCTGTCTGTATCCCCCACGCATCGTAGACCAGCGCCGAGAGAGATATCATAGCTAGCTGAGAGAGTCTACCACGCATACGACCCCTCGCGCCGCGCCCCACGGGTGCTCTATCTATGTCTCGGTCCAGCCAGAGGAAGGATAACGAACCGTAGCTGAGAGATAAAGAGGAGGAGGAGAGTCTTGTTTTCTTTCCGCTCACTCAGTCCATCCATCCCATGCTGTGCGTGTGGTGTGGTGCTTGTGTGGACCTGTCTGGTTGAGCTCGGTCTGGTCTCGTCAGCGCAGCTTACTGCCTGCACTGGTGGTACCGCACCGCGCCGGTTGCTCCAGCGGGACATGCCCGCCCGAGTCTCCCTGCAACAGCTGCCTGGTAGCCTGAGCGTGTAGAATGAGGGTGTCACACACACAGCTAGCTGAGAGAGACGCAGCCAGGGGGAAGCAAGGGAAGGGCTCTCCGGGGTGGAGGAGGTGTCCCATATTTGCTCAGTTCATCTGACGACGAATGTCAGGAACCTGTTGCATGGCGAAATCTGCAGGATTGTCAGTGCGGCCAGCCTGCCTGCACTGACGACACCGCAGATTTGGGCAGGGGACAAGTTCCCGACAGTCGGTCAAAGGGACGGATGGGCGCACCCGCTGCTCGACTGGCGACGACACAGAGAAGAGGATATCTGTAGCTGATAGAGCGATGAGACAGACGGAGGGCGGAGGGGGGGGGGGGGG